AGAAACTTCTCAACAAGATTCCTCAGAAAATACGATTTTTGACCTGAGGGGAATTGTATAAAAAAAAAAAAAAGCCCATGGGAACTAACGTAACTGCTTATGTTTGTGATATCTAAGCAAGTGTTATACTGAGTGCACAGTTGTGTGGATGATCCTTGTATATTTATTCAGTTTCTGTGTAATATAACACTTGTTCTGGTTGAGATTATGAATACAAACAGACAGCCTCTTAGTGAGATGCCTCCCTGCTATTTAGAATCAGTTGAATCATCAAGGCTACTCTCACCAGTTACATAACCTCATGAGTGGATGAGCTGTCTCTGGAGGAACTTTCAGTAGCTAATATATTCTCTATCCAATAAGAGTTCTAGTCAGTTGTCTTGGTATTGCATATTTAAAGTGCCTTACAATAAATAAATTATTTGCACCTAAGTGCTGTATTGCTGGAACTCTCCTTCAGGAGGCATATTTTAAAGAAGAAAATTGGGATATTTTGTGAACTATCAAAGGGCAAGTATAATGTAACAGTAAATTAATGCCTGTTTTCCTTTTTTCTTTGTAGGAATTTATTCGAGAACAAGTGGAGGTAAACTTTTCTCTTCTTTGGGGTTTCACACAAGGGCACCACCCAAAAGGCACTACTGTCCCATTTCCTTTCCCATTAATAAAGCATGTGTTTATGCATTAGCTGCTCCAGACCACAGGAGGCATCCAAGGGACATTGCCACTGACGGTCCAGAAGGTGTTGGCATCTCAAGCCTGCCATGGTAAGACCTAACAAACAGCGACAAGCACCTCTGCATGCTGAACACTGGCGGGGGTACAGCACGTATGAAAGAAGTGGGAGGCACATTTACTACTCGCCTCTGGGTGGGCACAATTCAGGTCAAGAAACTGAACACACTCAAAATGAACACTAGAAAACTATGTTTACAAAGCAAAATACCAACACACAGATTTTACCATAATGCAGCCTGACTTATATGCGTGGAAGAGTAACTCCTAGAGGAGATACATTTTGAGTCAAGTTTTGAATGAGCTGAGGGACATGGATTCATGATAGAAGGGAAAGTTTACTGCAGGGGGAGGAAATAGCCTGTGCAGACCAGAGGCACAAATTAGTTATATGAGGCACAGCAAAGAGTATCAACAAATTAGATTGGTAAGAAAGAAGCCTAAAAGGTCACAACAAAACCTTTAGATTTTATACAGAAGGCATTAGAATCATCAAGGGTTCTTGAGTAGGATAATATGATAAAACTAGAGGCCTGGTGCACAAAATTTCATGCATGGGTAGGGTCCCTAGGCCTGGCTGGCGATCAGGGCCTTCTGGCTGCTGGCTGGGGCTTCCTTCTTCCAAGCCGCCCCCTGGTGGTCAGCACACGTCATAGCAAGCGATTGAACTTCCGGTCTCCCGGTCGAACTCCGAGGGGACACTTTGCATATTAGCCATATATATATAGTGGTGGTGTCGGAGGAACTTACGTTAGGGGTCCTGACAGCTACAGAATCCCCTGCAACTGTCATTTGACCACAAAGGGGTCTCCAGTTAACTAACACTCTCCTCTGATCTCTCTCCATCAATCTTCTCTTCACTTCCTGTCTTTTCTAGCTAAGTAACCAGCCACTCATTAATTTGTCTCCTGTAAATATCCTAAACTCCTTTTATCCTGTCTTTACTCCTCAAATGTACACCATCACCAAATTTCACCATCTCTACCTTCAGAATGTAGCTTAAATCTGTCTGACATGATCTGTTTCCACTGCCACCTCCCTCGTTCTTGCCACTCGAGTCCTCTTACTTAGTCTCCCCACATCCGTTCTGTCTCTGCTTCAAGCTACTTTTCCCTCAGCACCCAGAGGAATCTTTTTGAAACGTCCCTTTGAGCATGTCATTCTTCTAACTAAAAGGTGTCAAGACTATTCATTGCTGTTAAGATAAAAATTTTATTCCTCACCATGTCTTGCTGGGGGCTTCATGATCTGGCCCCTGCCTCATTTCATCTCACTCTCCACCTTGCCCTTTACAGTCTAGTCTCTTCCTTGGCCTAGTTCTTAGGTTTCTGCACCTCCGCATTTGCCCTTTCCTCCATCTGAAATGCCTTTCCAATTCCTTCTTGTCTTTCTAAACTTAAGGTCTCAGATTAAATATCATTTTGCCAGGGAAGCCTTCCCTGACCTCCTAAACTGGGTTTTTCTATTACATATTCTTTCATACCCTACATTTTACAAAACTTATAATTTATAATTTAAGTCTATAATATAAAATGTATTTTATATATTTATATATAAATATGTATTTTACAAATATAATTTATCATTTAAGTTATTGTGTAATTACTTATTTAATGTTTGTCTCACCTCTTAGACCCATTAGATCATAAACTTCATAAGGGTGAAGACCCTTTTCTCATTCACTGTGTGGCATAGCTCCTAATACAAAGTATATACTTATAAATTTTTATTGATTAAGTTAATGTATGCATAAAGGCAGTTCTAACAATATGCGTTTAGATTAAGAGTATTATGGAAATAAAAAAAGAAGCAAATGAAATGGACATTGTAGAAAACAATCAGAGATCTTGGTGCTAGATTGGCTATGGGCAAAAGATGACCTTGATTTCATAAACATATAAGAAGTAGGCAAAAATATTGCTCTTACCTCTTTGAGAAAAACTCTGAAAGAAAAGCCTAACAAGTTAAGGAATGCCTCCAACAAGGATTAGAAAGACAAAGGCACCATAAGGAAAAGCTGAGAGAGGTCAGTCCTGAGGCCTGAGTTTCAAGCAGTATTAAAGTCACATGAGAGGGCCTCAGAAACATTTTACTTTTCCCAGATACTTGGCTCTGACCCAGGGTCAGCATTGGTTTCCCACCGTATACACCATAACCTTCTTGTTTCTGTCTTTCGTTTAGGGGCCATTAAGTTTAATGATGGCCTGAGCTTAGAGGAGAGCTATCGCCTTATTGAAGCCCTGTCCTGGTGCCAGCTGCCATTCCAGTGTGCTCATGGGAGACCGTCTATGCTGCCGTTGGCTGACATAGACCACTTGGAGCAGGAAAAACAGGTACAGTGATGACAAACAGAAGAGGAAGCAAAGTTTATCTGCTTTTCCTTTTTCAGATGCTATTATCCAAATGTAATGTCTTAATCCTTCCCAAAACAGGAGATTTTTGAAAATTACACATTGGAAGTTTATGTAAAGTCTCACCATTTCAGCTTCTAGCTCAAATTCAAAATGGAGCTTAGGTGGAACTGTCAGATTATACACACAATGCCTGTGTATTTTTTAAGTTTAACACATGTACAAACTGGTGTATTCTGGACATCTGTTGCCTACTGGCTCTAGATTTGATAAGATGCAGAAGTTCAGGGGTTACAGAAAGTTGGTGGAAACAGCAAATTCACTGCTGGCAAATGGAACCTAAACAGCCAGTTGCTTGGTGGCACTTGTTGGAAATGGTAGCTACCTCCAAGGACCTCTAGAGTTATGATTTGCGCATCATCAGGCCAGGGGAAGCAAGCTTAGATTTCCACATCAAGCTTCGGCCCTGATTACTCAGCAGCCCAGGAACAATGATGTCGATAATACAATAAAGGCACAGTGATTAAATTAAAGAACTTTTCCTGTCCTTGTTGCAATCTTAAATGAAACAGAACACGAGAGTATGATAGGAATATCCATGTTGCTGCTTTCCAAAATATTATTTATATGTTTTTTTAAATCCTCACCCGAGGATATGTTTTTATTGATTTTAGAGAGAGAGGAATGGAGAGGGAGAGAGAGAGACATCGATGAGAGAGAGACATCAATCAGTTACCTCCTGTAGGCACCAGGGGTCGAACTCACAACCTAGGTATGTGACTGACTGGGAATTGGATCTGAAACCTTTTGGCATATGGGGGATGACGCTCCAACCAACTGCGCCACTTGGCTGGGGCCTAAATCTTTTATTTTGCTTACCTTTCCTGCTAAGGGCTATAAAGTCTTTTCTTGTATGGAGTTTTCAGGTATTGATGTTTTCTCAACAATCCAGTATATTTTACTCTATTAAAAACTTTTTTTTTGCCTGGCCGGGGTGGCTCAGTGGCTGAGTGTCAACCTATGAGTTGAGGTCACAATTTGATTCCTGGTGAAGGCACATGCCCAGGTGTGGGCTTGATCCCCAGGATGGGGCGTGCAGGAGACAGCCAATTGATGACTCTCTCTTATCATTAATGTTTCTATCTCTCCCTCCCTCTCCCTTCCTCTCGGAAATCAATAAAAACATATTACAAGAAAAACCAAAAACCCTTTTTGCTTTACATGACAGTGAAAAAAATGAAAAAAAGTTTTGTCCTTATTCCTGAAGAGATGGGGATCTAGATTTAAAAGTTTCCAGTCCCACTTATCTTAGGAAATCTATACTCTCTTCTGAACCCAGAAATTAGAAATCTAAACACATTTGAATAGCGATAATTAGGAAATACTTATATGCTACTTGGCTTTTCCTACTGGTAATTGGAATTACTTTCTTTCTTCCCATAGATTAAGCCCAATCTTGCAAAACTGCGCAAAATGGCCCAGGCCTGGCGTCTCTTTGGAAAAGAAGAATGTGATACAAGGCAAAGCCTGCAGGTATCCATGCCTCCTTGTGAGCCACTATGAGAACAGAATTATTGATCTATAAGGAGCCAAAAGGGATGCTAACTATCTGCCTCTGAACAGAGAGCATAAACAGCTGTACCAGCAGTCTTGACGGAAGCAGCCCAGTGCACCCGAGCAACATGTCAGTCTTCCTTGAGCAGATGATCCCTCTAGTTGAGTAGTCAGATGGAATTCAAGCCTAAAGACACTTCATTTGCATCCATGGACACAGGAGTCTGCCCTATAATATCTACTTTTTGTAACTTATTTAAGGATAAAATTTAATGATTGATTGGTTACTTTATGGTTTTCTTGGGATGTGGGTTTTTGTTTGGTTTGCAATTTTTTCCAGCCTCATAATTTGCATTGATGTTAATTTACCTAATGCTGAACTCCCAGGAATCAAGTCCCCCCTCCTAGACTGCCCAGGCCCGTGCTCTCGCTTTCCCCTCCCTTCACTTCCCTCTGCTGCTGCTTTACATTCTAAATCTCAGACTTAGAGTTTCTCTACCCTCAACAAAACTGCTCTTGCAGTATTCCATCACACCTATAGTTAGATTATTTTAGGGATTAAAAACTATTGATAAGAGAAATAAGGACAAGGATAAAATAGAGAAATTAAAGTTCTTTTCTTCATTTTTTGTTTTACTATCACTTTAAAAATTCAGAGTGATGTTCATATTCCAGAGCACTAAACTTTGTTTTACTATCACTTTAAAAATTCAGAGTGATGTTGTTCATATTCCAGAGCACTAAAATGATGAAAGTACTATGAGCTTTTTAAAAATATTTTTTGTACTTTATAAAGTATCTCTATGTGAAAGCAATTTTCATATCTAAATGCAGCATTTATTCTTTCAACCTAACCAGATGTGTTCTCTACATTTTTTCAGGAGTCAGGGTTCTTTTGGTCCCTTTCAAATTATATCTTGGTTTTATTACAGTATGTGTATCTAATTGCCTCATAATTTCATTTGGGATTTTTCTGCAAATGCTTGTTATGCCACTTGTATTTCCCCCACCTATTTAGATGACTTGATTTCTGGTTACTAAGACTCAATAGACTAAAGTCCTATAGCAGGGGAAAAAGGCAGAAGAAACAGCTGGCAATGTTTATTGCAACTGGGATGTTATACAATGAAAAAGATGTTGCAATGAAAATTTCCACTTTTTTATTTCCTGACCAGCCTGCTCAAATTGGCCTTTGTATCAGTGGAATTATTTTCCTCCTTTTTAAGTACAGGAAACAAACTAGTGCTCATGGAAGAAAAGCTTGTTTGCCAATAGCCTGCAGTGAATCTTACAGGAGCAATGAAGTATTGCATTCATTAGTGTGTGCTTCAGAGAAGGCTCACGGAAAGCCTTCACTGGTTTTCAAGGGGATCCTTGTAGAATTACATAATTGGAACTCTGAAGAATAGGCACCACTGTCTAGAAATGGTCTTTATTCTTCTAAATACCCATAGACAGTTTCATAGCGGGGAGAGATGACCTTAGAAAGGAGGGTGCTTTCAGGGGGATTTGCAAGGCTGTCAGGGGCTCTGCCTCCAGGCCCAGCGGGGTGCCCTGGCCTCTGGACCTCTGTCTCCACTCTCCAGAGCTACATGGAGGCCAACTGTCCTGGGAGTTTTGAAATCTTTCCATATCAGACCAATGTGTGGGATTTAAAAAAATGTTACAATACCTCTTATATAAGGATGATGGGGTGCAATTTCAAAAGGTTTTACTATAATCCCAAACCACTGATTTCTGGAAATTAAGAGAGGATTCGAAAAAGTTCTCCATAAATTATGTAACCAATTTCTCTAGCCTGGATCAATCAGTGTAAGAGATAATTATCCTATTTTAATAATTTATAAACTCAGTAGCATGCATCAGCATAAAACCAACCTATTAGCCAAAAATGTCTAACATTACTTTGATTATTGCCTATTAGGGTTCTGTTCTGGTTTGTTTTTAACTCAGGTGCCATAAGAGAAAAGATACATTTAAATTTTCCAATTCATCAATGGAAAATAATTCCATTGATACAAAGGCCAATTTGAGCAGGCTGGTCAGGAAATACAAAAATGGAAATTCTCATTGCAACATCTTTTTCATCATTAAGATTTACAAAATAATTTTCATATACCTTTCCTATCTTACCAGTATTTGAATTTCCTGGTAACCTATGAAATAAGGTGGTATTATTCTCCCCATTTTACAGAAGGGGTTAAAGCTGAAAAATATTAAGTGATATTGTCTAAGATCACACAGCTAGTAAGTAAAGCTGAGAGTGGTATCCAAGTTTTCTAGCTCCAATAACAATAGCTACCATGTATACAGTCCTCTTAGGAAGCTAGTATCTCTCTTTTACAGTGAGACGACTGAGGCTCAGAGATGTTAACTAGTTTGCTGAGGACCTACCTAAGAGAACCAGAATCCAGACCCAGGTCTGTGTGACTTTACATTACACACTCCTTCCCATTATTACCTCCATATGCTGCTCTATGTATTTTTAATTTATTAGTGATTTATCAGTTTGAAACTTAGTTCATTTTTATTAGATTCTTGGTTGTGGAGGCTTCATTAACTTCAGAGTAAAACCTGAGAGATGAGATGGGCAGGGAAGTTGTTCTTGAGAGTTCCTTTTGTTGGTAATATCCTTCAAATTTTTATTGAGAAATAAAGGTACATAACTAAGAAACGTACATAACTAAGTAGCTATAGTCAGGGAGGAAGGCAAGGAAACTGATGATAGAATATGGTAACTTCTTCTAGGTTTAGGGATCACTGAGTTACCAGCTGTATCTTTATTATTGAGATAAGAATCTGTCAGAATTGAGGCTATAGCTGGCAGTAGGAGAGGTCTCAGAAAGCTTAGTGTGTAGGCTAAAAGGAAGGGGAGAGACTGAGGAGAGGGCTAGGGCAAGGTCTTGAACATAGCCGGGCATCTGGAACTCCATGAGTAGTTGACAATGGAGAGGTCTTAGCAATCAGACTTCGGAGCAAGGCAAAGGGTCAGAACAAATGAACAGCTGGGATCTGAGTCTAACAGAGTGAAAAAAACAAGTCAACCAGAAAGAACAGGGCCAAGGAGGGGGCCAAGTTCTAGAGATGTGTAGGGGGCTGAGGAAGTCATGCCAAGTGAGAACAGATGCAGCCAGTCAGTTCCTAGAGAGCACTGACAGCCAAGCTCAGCTGACGCTTCACCGGTAACAGCACATCTGAGAGAAGGGAATGGCATTTTCTGGCACAAAGAACTTTCTCCCTGCTCCCACCTGAAGTCCCACCCCATTCCATCAAAACTCTTTACAAAAGCAGGTTAACAATGAGAACTGACTGGCATGTTTGCCACTGTATGTCCTATTTTCACCCTTCCTGAGCTGAAGTTGCTCGTTAACAGTGAGATGGCAAAAAGATGAGCTCAGAAGAGAGGAAAAGAAGTCTGGGAAACCAAAAATCTGGATAATGTGTACCAAATAAACTCTTCCTTCTATCCCTCCATTAATTCCTTTATTCATCCTTCAATAACTCCCGAGTCCCTCCTAAATATATTGCATCAGAAATTGTGGAGGGTATAAAGAAAGAAGGGGTTATCCTGTGGCTTGGAATTTTTCAAACCCTTGGGTCATTTTCAGCGCATGCCCATTTGTCATAGAGCACTCAGAAACATTTGATAAAGTTCAGGCAGCCCCATCAAAGCCCGTGGGAATCTGAGTGTCTTACATATTGGAATCTATGGAGCCAGGAAGCTAGTGACTCAAGTAGCAGTCTGAAGAAGCTTGATTTGGCCTGACTCTGCCCGCACAACTTGCCTAACTAAACAAGTGCTCTTGTTCCCTTCAAAAGCAAGTAATGATGCTCCCACAAAAAAGTGGTTTGGAATTAGCTACTGTTATTAGTTTATCATTATTCAAGGTAGTTCATCACCTCTTTTTTAGTAGTAAATTGCAGAAATTAACATATAGATTATGAATTTCAGGAATCTTTAATAATAAAGTTTTTTCTAGACAGGTCTTAATTCTAAATGTAACATGCCCGAAAAAAAGAAAAAAACACTACTGAAAGGCTCCTTCTCTTCCACACAATATCCTATATAATAAAAGGGTAATATGCAAATCAACTGACCGGCAGAACGACCAGTCGCTATGATGTGCACTGACCACCAGGGGGCAGACGCTCAACTCAGGAGCTGCCCCCTGGTGGTCAGTGTGCTCCCACAGGGGGAGTGCCACTCAGCCAGAAGCCCGGCTCATAGCTGGCAAGTGCAGCTGCAGTGCTGGGAGCCTCTCCCACCTCCTTGGCCTCACTAAGGATGTCCGACTGACGGTTTAGGCCCGCTCCTTGGGGGGGGGGGGGCGGGGGGAAGCAGGCCTAAGCCGTCAGTCAGACATCCCCTGAGGGCTCCCAGACTGCAAGAGGGCGCAGGCCAGGCTGAGGGACACGCTCCCCACCCCCCACCCCCAGCCCGTGCATGAATTTTGTGTACCGGGTCTCTAGTTTAATATAAACATCAAGCAATCATTATTTCAAGTGCGGTTAGGCTCAAATGCTGCCCTCCACTGTGTGAGTGGTGTGAAGACTGAAAGTTTAGACTATAGCTCTTTATTAGTAATAATTGCTCAGCCATTGCACAATACCCTGGAACAGCTGTTTGGTGAATGAAAGAATAATTCAAAGCCAAGCAGGCCAGATATAAAACTCTTCCAAGGCACATTTCAAAATAGCTCCTTTATGTGAACTAGGTGCATGTCTGCAGAGGGAGTTTTTGTGAGGACAGGTGGATAATATGGGGCCTTTACAATAATTACATCACCATCTGGCCCCATCTTTATGGCAAAGCAGTTCTGCTGTACTGAGTTCTACATATGTGGTATATAGAGCCATATAGCTCAACGACGAAACCGTGTGACTGGCAGCCTTCATTAACCCACACACTGATGCAACAGATTGCTTTGAGAAATGGGTTTGAAGCACATCTGTGAAACTTATGATCCTATGGGTACTGGCATTTATTTCTTTGAGGTATCACTTTACACTTAAGTTTTTCTTGGTAGAGTATTTTTCAGAGACTTCTCTTTTGAGGCTAAATTAGGAATTTCTGTTCCTTATTTGAGTTCCAAGAATTGTGCCTTTCCTGCCCTCCGCCCAAATTGGAAGATACAAACCGTGGGAAAAAGTGTCTTTACAAACTGTATTGAGTAAGTTATCTAACTTGGTTTATTTAGCATAGTCAGGAAACCTTTCACAGGCATGGCATCCTCTCTCTATTATTTCTCTCTAAGCTAAAACAGTTTTTTGTTTTTTCAATGAGTTTCTGGGTCCTGACTGCAAAGGTGGGGAGTAAGGTGGGCACCAAGGCTGACAGGGAGTAAGTCAATGTGGAACTCGTTTCTCCTTGTTCAGATCAGTCTCCCTTTCCAATATTTACTCTTCCTCAAATAGGAAGAGGGAGAGCGGAAAAGAGAAAAAAAATGAGACATATAAATAGCTTTGTGGGATTTACTTGAAGTCTAAAGAATATGCATTTATGCAGTTATGTTCTAGGCACTGAAAAGCTGACCAAAAAGAGAACCTCTACCCTTGTAACCTTCATCCATCCCAGTTATGCCTGAGAAGGATGTCGGTGCTAATTTTAACCGGGAGACTAAGACGCACAAAGAACAAGTATCATAAAGCATTTTTGGAGCCAGAAACATTTAAGTTCCTTGACTCACTGCTGCTCTTACTCCAGACCACACAATTATATCCAAGTGAATTGCTGTTAGAATTAGTGCCTTCAGAGAAGACGATTGCTCGTAATTGGCAGCTATAAACCACTTCACTGAGAAAGCTGGGGTCTTAGATGCTGTGAGAAATAATTGACAGACTGAAGCCTGAGTGAGTCAGGCTCTTGTGAGTCATAGGACTTTTAGGTCAGTCTTTTAGACTGACTCTCCAGATCTTGCCTTTTTTTCCTCCCTCAGGGAAGGCAAGTGCCTAAGGCAAAGATCTAAGTAGATATCAAAAGAGTAGAGTGCCTCTGGCCAGTGTTTACCCAAGTGTGGTTATCAAATCCCCTGTTAAAGTCCCGTGGGGTGCTTGTTAAACGTGCAGACTCCTGCTGCTCTCTCCCCCCACCGCCTAGAGGAAGGAGGCCAGCCTCTGAGACAAGCATTCCAGGGGGTTTCCCTGCACACTCAAATCTGCCTTGGACTTCTGCTTCCCAAACACACAGATCACCTGGGGAGACTTTTTAAAAGACGTAATTACTAAAGTAGTACATATAAAATATGGAAACAATATATAAGCGTACTAAAAAAATTAGATGTCTTCCTGCTTGCCAGTGTTTGGTGTTATTCTGACTTTTATCCTATGCAAATACATGTTTTGTTTTAATGAAGGATCATATTAAGCATGTTACTCTGCAGCTTGATTTGTTTCCCAGCTTGTTTTTAACAATATAAAATGGACTTCCTTACAAATCTATGCCATTCATCCACACAAGGCTCACATATCAAATGCCTTACAGAGGTTAGGCAGATAACATAAATAAGTTAAATGGAGGAGGGAGGAACTGCAGAAAACTGGAGGTTTTCCATCTAATGAAATGAGAAGCTACCCAATCTCGCCAACTGTTGCCTCTTGGGAATGTGGATTCAGAATCGCCAGACCTTCTGAGTTCTCAAAAGAAGCAAGAAATCAAATTTATTTAATGTGCAATCTCCAGATACTTAAGTTTTGATAACTAATTCAAATTAAATACTGGGCAAACCAGCCAAAATGTCTTCAATCCAGACACTGCCCTCAAGTCATCCTTTTGAAACCTCTAATGCAGTGGATGCATAATCTTCCATGTTATGTCATTATTTTAAAACCTTTCTTGCTTTTAACTAACAGAATACAAAGTGTTATTGCTAAACCCTTAGGCTGTGATATTACAGCCGCTAAAATAAGACAGTCACGGCTATACCTTTGTGCACTTTACAAATAATTCTAGAAGTACAGATTCAAAACTGCCCTTGAAAAGATTGTGCCAGTTTACAATCCTATTAACAGTACATGAGGGTGTCCTTTTCTAGGGAGCTTTAAACAGATTCCCAGGTGCCTCCCTGGAGATCAGATGTAGTGGGTCTGGGATGGAGCCCAAGAATGTTTGTTTTTTTAAGCTCCCAGATGGTTCTAATGATCAGAGAGGTTTTGGAACCACACTCTTAGATTACTAACAAGTTGTTTGGGACCATTTCCAGTAAATTATAAAGGAAACTGTAAATACTTCATTTGTACTTCTCTGTTTTAGACTGTTCCTAATTACAGCCCTCCATGGAAACACGAAAAGGCTCTGCTGCTGCTGTTTCAGGCAGTTCAATCAGAGCAGAACAATAAATAAACCAAGTCAGGAACCTCCGAGCAGCTTTTATTGGCACAGCCTACGAAAAGGTGTGGTAGCCATTCTGAGCAAAAACCTGTATCCCAGCAAGCTGTTCAGTGTTATGTTTAACACACCACTGAACCAGAAAGTTTAAGTTCCTGAAACAGACACCCCAGGTCACTAAGAAGCTCCAAAACCAATAGGTTAAGCCCTGCTGCTCTGTTAAGACCTGAAAGGCAAACACACGCAAGCAAACACACACACACACACACACTCCTTGACGTGCATCCTTGTTATGGGATGACTAGAAAGGTACGCAATGGTATCCAGTTTTTTTAGGTTGACTCCAGTTCATTCCCCCATTACAAGGAAAATGCATTTCAGCAGTGGCACTGAAGTCTCCAGGCTGTGTTTCCCTAAGCAGTTTCTGCTGAGGACGAGTGGTGTCATAGGACATGATCATCAGGATGGTACAGTTCACTCATCAGGCGGTAGATGTAGGAAGGTGCGTTCCCACCAATGTTGGAGATAAAGAGGGTAATGAGCTCTGGGGGAACATAGTCAAACACAGGGCAATGAACGCTGACTTTCTCCAGAATGTCCCCTGAAAGGCAATCACAGGTTATAAGATAAAATTGAGGATCCTGCTCTAATGGTTTAGTAGCATATAGATTCTAGGCTCAATAATGCAGTCATACGTGCTACCCCAAGGAAGGGAAGCTGCGACAAATGCAAACCAGAACAGATGACTTCAGATCATGATACTTCCTGTTTAAAACTATCCAATGCTTTTCTTTAGCCCTTAGAAAAGAATTCAAACGTGGGATTGCAACCTTCAAGATCCCACCACACTACATTAATTACAAATCATACCAGTCTACTTCTTGCTCATTCCTCTCCAGCCACATGGCCATTTTCTTCCCAAATGGCTAAGCATGTACCTAACTCAGTCCCTTTGCACCAATGCCTGGAAAACTCTCCCTTTGACCTTCACGTGGGGCTCTACGCATTCAGAACTCAGCTGAAATGTCATCTCATTAAGACACTTCTCCAATCTAAGGTAGTCTCCTAGCCACTTTCCATCTCATCATCATTTTTTTCTCGAAAGCATCGCATGACCTGACATTTCCTTGTCCATCTGCTGCAGCAGAACGTAAGCCCTGTGGGGAGCAGGGCCTACCTGTATTGTTCATTGTTATGTCCCTAGTGCCTAGAATAGTGCCAGGTATATAGTTGGTGCTCAATAGATGTAAATATTTCTGAAAGAATGAATATTTAAATAAGTGGATGAAGTTATTCAACTTCCAAGAAGAATTAGCACCCCAAATACTATGCCCTGCTCCCAGAGGGTGTTTAAGGCCATGTTAACTTGATGAGGCTCACCGAACACAGCTGCTGCCTCAGAAGTCAGAGAAAGGGCCCCAACACACAAAGGGTATCCAAGTTATAGGCAAGTTGTATAAGTCAGAGCATTGCAGAGCCCGCTTCCTTTGGCAGCCACATCACCAAAATGACTTCTGACAGCAACTGAAAACAAGTACATTTCCCACTGGGTTGTTGCCTGTGTCTCAAACAACATGCAAAGCCGAACCCAGTCACTGCTGGGTGATCCAACCCACCATAGCCCCAATAACTCACCTAAAATGGATTAGTCAGAACAAAAGGAACCTAAACTAGACCAGGTCTCCAGGCACTCTAAGTGCTGAAGAGAACAAGAGAACAGTCCCTACAATAAGTATGATAAAAAGCACAACCTGATAGCATTAAATCCCATTGACCACCAAAACCAAAAT